CACACACACACTTTTTAATTTTTTATTTAGAGGCAGGATCTCACTAAACTGCTTAGGGCCTTGCTAAATTGCTGAGGCTGGCTTTAAACTCACGATCCTCCTGCCTCAGCCTACCAAACCACTGGGATTACAGGCATGTGCCACAGTGCCTAGCAAAAAAGCCCTCTTCTGTCTGTATCTTACACAGCAGGAAAATAATGTCTACAATTTCATTAATACAAATACAGAAGTTTCCAGGGATGATTTTGCTTGCCTCTACTGCAAATGTCTTAAACCAGCAAATGACTTCAGCTACCAACTCTTGGGAGCAGGAGACTGTTTAGTGCATCCATCCTCCCAGTCAGTGCTGGCTGGGTCTTGGTTCCTTGATTCTGTCCTGTTTTCTGTTTTTGCCTGGTAGATGGTATACTTTTGATTTCCAACAAGGCGTTTGTTTCCACAGGATGGGCCAAAGAGGACCGAAAATTCCTCATTCTCAGCTGAGCTTAGACAAGCTTTGGCAGTGATAGAGGATTTGATCAAGTCCTGTGAGTTGGCGGTGGACCTAGCAGCAGTCTCTGGATGTCCGGTACGTTCCATAGCAAATGTTGGAAGATTTCACATCAAAGGTGGGCACAGTATTCCCAAGGTGGGAGGTGCTGAGGCACACTCAGAGAAATCATCTACAATAAAGAAATCGAATTCTGAGGAAAGTCACCTAAGTTAGTCAGCAATCTGTGCCAGGAGATTGTGAAAAGCCCCTGAGCATTCTTAAGGATCTTGGTTTATACTCCTCAGGGTCCTGAATGTCATGCCATTCCACCTTCTAAACAAATCAGAAACTGGGGGGCCAGGATTCATACAAAGGGCAAAAGCGCTGAAGGAGTAGTCTTTTTCTAACTCACTATTAAAATATTAAAAGATTGTCCTTCTTGCTTCAGAGTTTCTCTGTGAAAAGTATTTGTGTGTGTGTGTGTGTGTGTGTGTGTGTGTGTGTTGCTGGGACCTTGTGCATACTTATCTGCACATACTCTGCTACTGAGCCACACCCCCAATCCAGTGTGAAAAGTATTTTGAAAATGAGTCCTACATGAGAATCTAGCCCCATTTCACATCACAGAGTCCAAAAGAGGCCCAACAAGTATTGTACAACCCTTAATCCAAAGGACTCAAAGAAAATGCATTGAGAGGCCGATGCTGGGGAACTGAGCCATGTCAGCTTGAGCACAGCACTAATCCTGAGCAGTTGGGCCCCAGTCCAGGCAAATCATCTCCTGGAGCTGTATAACATCTCAAGTCTGGGATATGGTTAATATTTAACTGTTTTCACTTTTAATTTCTCTAGATTTCAATTTAAATATATTTGCTTCCTGACACTGTCATAACAACTTATCACAAATTTGGTAGCTTAGAACAACACACATTATCTTACAGTTCCAGGATCAGAAGTTCAACATAGTTTCATGGGCTAATAAAATCAAGGTGTCTGCTTTCCCCTTTAGAGTTCTTTCAGTTTCCTTGAGTTTTCCATCTTGAGAAGGCCACTCCCAGTTGGGCTCTGTGGCACCCGCCTGTAATCCCAGTAGCTCAGGAGGCTGAGCCAGGAGGATCACAAGTTCAAAGCCAGCCTCAACAAAAGTGAGGTGCTGAGCAACTAAATGAGACCCTGTCTCTAAATAAAATATAAAACAGGGCTAGGGATGTGACTCAGTGGTTGAGTGCCCCTGAGTTCAATTGCTGGTACCACCCACTACCCCAAAAGGCTACCCCTATTCCTTGGCTTGTAGCTGTTCCTCCAGCTTCAAAACCAGAAGTTGGGAGGAGGGGAGTTCTCCAGTCATATCACTCTGGACTGTGCTTCTCTGCCACATATAAGAACCCTTGTGATTACTTGGACCCTGCCAGATAATCCAAAATAATCTATTTGTAACCTTAACTTCCATTTGTCATGACAGTGTCAGATTCTGGGGATTAGGATGTGGACATCTCTGGGAAGCCATTATTCTGCTCACCTAACAGTATTCAGCATTCTGAGAATTACATTTCAAATACTTTCTCTCCCTCTCCCTCCCTCCCTCTCTCTCTCCTGGTTCTTACTACACTGTTTATTGAAATCTCAGAAGAGTCAATGATCTTTTTTTTCCTGTCCTTGTCACACATCAAACCTTGCAAACTAATTAGGGGGAAAAAATTATCCTTTAACTTCCCTTCCTCATGGTATTTCTTTGGACAGCATCTAAGAAACTTTGCCCTACTGGGTTTGCTGTGATCCTAGACAGTGATGCTATTCTGTCCTCTGGGACACCAACATGCTCTCTGCTTACAACTGATGCATGATTCAGGAGGGTATTCGTGAACTACAGGGGGTGACATTAAGGTGTGTGTGAGAGGGGATCATTTTCTTGGTATTAATTTTTCTTTCTTCAACTAAGGAGCATCAAGGGAACAATTTGCATAATCATTTTGGCACATCTTTCTGTTCTTTTTTTTTTTTATCTTGAATCATGTGTTAGCTACTTCTATTAGGTATCTATTTCCCTGAATCCAATAAATAAATTTCCTAGAAACAATACACATCAAGAAGTGTAAATAACATCTGAGTGTAAATAACATGGCTGGGGGGAGTTCTGGGGAAAAAATGATTAAAATATAAGGAAATAACAATCTGCCCTAATTTCATCCCAAGCCAGCTTGTACGCAAATAAAATGAATCAGTTTATAAAATTTTAGAGATTTCACACTAAATTCAAAGGGCTGTTTTTGTACCTTTGCCATATGCTTTGTAATTTCTTTCCTAAGACCTTCATCTGCTATTATATCTAATACATTAGTAAATTTATCCTGACAGTTTTTGTAGTCTCCTATTGAATTATGGAGGAATTTCAACTTTTTCTGATTCAAGAGCAAATCCATGGAATGAATAGTTAACTAAACCAAAAGTACGTGGGCATCAGCTGGGACTATTTCTTTTTCACATCCTATCCAGGGTACCATCTACCCTCTATCTGGTTCTCATTGTCATTGACATAACATCTTAACTACTACTAATTCAGATCACCAGATCAAAGATCCTTTGGCTCAGTTTTATAGAGCTTTTTGTCATGGTATTTATAAACACCTGTGGTATACATAGATAAATCCAGAGCTTAACCTCTTTGTTTTTCTACTTTAAACCCAATATTAACCTGGTTTTGAAAAGGAAGGAAATTGAATATTGGTGGATTAATTTGTAATTAAAACAACTAGGAAAAGAAATCCTTTCTAATATTTACATTTTTCCCTGTTGGATATACTCATTTAGTCTTTGGTTTAATTAAGTCACAAAAGTTTTAACAAGTTTTTAAAGCAGATTTGTTTCATAGATGCTGAATTGTAATCTACTTCCCTCCAATTGCAAAAAAAAAAAAAAGTTTATTATCCAATGGGTAATAAAGATCATGTAAATCCCGACTTGCCAGGAACAAGTTCCAAGGAACAAATAAAGATTGGTGAAAAAATTTCATTCCCAGAACAAATGTGCAGAATTCAATAAAAGGCATATTTTTAATTACAAGGTCATTGTGAGCTAGGGCCAGATGTTTTACTTCTGTTTCAGTTTCTACTTTCCTCACTCTAATGTTGCTACAGAGATGAGGCTGAGTAGACAACCTCAGCACTCAGTGGATTGCCTTGAGAATCTTCCCACCCTCAGGAGACCTGTGTCAAAGTGTGGCTGTTAGGAGTCAGTGAGGCCTACATCCCAGGTGAGGCACGTGGCACCTGCCTGGCACCCCACAGATGCTGATTCAGTGGCCCTCCTGCTGAGTTCCTTGGAGCCTCCTAATCATCAGGCTGGGATTGAAAGAGCTCTTTGCCTCTGCCTGTTGTGATCACTCCTCCCACAGTTTCTGCTTTTCATTTCTCAACCAGGCAGTGTGATGATTCACTTATCCAGATGGTTCCTGCTTCTCTGTGTGAGAAGTATAGAACCTGGTCACATTAGCTCACACTGCCAAGGATGAAGAGCACCCCAAAGAAGTCTCTTTCTAGTGTTACTTGGTTCATTCTCTTGGGTTGATTCTTCAGTTGGCCCATGTAGTCACATTTGAAATTCTTATATCACCGCTCTTGCTTGCAAATTGCCCATAAGTGAAAATGATAGCGTTTACTAGTTTATTTTGCCTTGGTGTTTCCTATGGAGGAGACTATCTGACTTGCTTGTTTGTTTAAGGTAACCCTGGGTCTCATCTCTGAATGCATAAGCATCAGATTCTTCAACAACATACCATTTGACACAGACACAATTCTTTGTCACTGTTAGAATATGGTCGGGACTATATTGGTTTGCTAGGGCTGCTATAGCAAAGTACCACAAACAGAGCGACTTAAAATAGCAGAAATTTATTCTCTCACAGTTGTGAAGTCTAGATAGCCAAAATCAAGGTTTTAACAGAGCTGTGTTCCCTCTGAAGGCTCCAGGTAAGAATCTTCCTGGCTTCTGGTTGTCACTGGCAATGCATAGAGTTCCTGAGCTGACGGCAGCATTACTCAAGCGTCTGCCTCCAGGTTCACATGCCTGTCTTCCCTCTGCTGTGGATTTCTGTATTTGTGCTTTTTTTATAAGGACATTAGTCATTGGAGTAGCCCCACCCTAATACAGTATAACTCATCTTAGCTAATACATCTGCAAAGATCCTCTTTCTGGATAAGATCACTTTCTGAGGTTCCAATTAACAGGGGGAAGCTATTAAAACCAAGTACAGGGGCGTTACTGAATTAACTTCTTGAATAAATCAATATTTTCTCACAGTATTGAGTATTTAGTTCTATGTCCCTTGCCCCAAAATGCCATGAAATGAAAATAAATGAACAAATACTAGGGGACAAGTATCCGAAAATGGTTATGCATGTGATCTCAAGCCTTGAAACCAAATACAGTCTGGTTGGAAAGAAGAGAAGCTAAATAATTGTCCAAGGGCCATGCTTGATCCTGCTCGGGGGAATCTCCCCACCACTTTCCTTTGGAGGTTGGGTGGCTTCGACACAGACATGTGTCCTGCCAACAACGAAGTATTTGTGCCTGCTCTCCACCAACACTGTACCTACAGGGTATGTGGCTTTGCCTGCTGAAGATTGGGCCTCAAACACTGAGATGTTCACTCCTCTCATGGGCCCATGAGAACATCTATGCAAGATGCCCCAAAAAATGCACAACCAGTTTCAGGCAGTCTAGATAGACCTGGTGATTCCCTTCAGAGAATTTAGGTGGTGGGCTTATCAGAAAAGCTGACTCACAGAGCTGCAGGTAGAGTCAGGACAGTAGCAAAGCTGGGCTCACAGAGAGGGAGACTGAACCCAGGATCTATAGCAGCTCTGGGATCTTGGCCTAGGGAGGGATTTGAGGTTGTCACAAGTGTACCTGCTTCTGTGTACCCGGTACAGCCCATACCTGCTGCCCTTTCCTCTTACCCACTGATTACTGGTTCTTTTCCTCCATTAGTGCCTTTTTCTCTTCCTCATAATTTATTCTGACTCATTTTCTTCATAGTTCTCCTCCCTTCTTATTAATCACACAGCTTGTCCACAACTACAACTCCTGCTGGTCACTGCCTCCTCCTCAGTTTTCTTTAGTTACAGAGGGATTATTATGGTCAACCAAGGGCCCTGTGTCAGCTGTTGGCCCTTTTCTGGATTCACAAACCTGAAAGTAGCTGTGACTACAGGGAGACTAAAAAAGAAATTTCAGAGGTGATGAAACACAAAAACACTGCTGCCTACCCGGGCATGTGGGCACATGTCTATAATTCCAGCAATTTGGGAGATTGAGACAAGAGGATCCTAAGTTCAAGGCCAGCCTCAGCAATTTAGCGTGGCCCTAGACAATTTAGCAAAACCTGTCTCAAAATATAAAAAAGGCTGGGGATGTGACTCAGTGGTTAAGCATCCCTGGGTTCAATCCCTGGTACCAAAAACACATTGCTTCCTAAGGTTACCTCTTCAGCAGGGCTGAGGTCAAGGCTTCCTATACAACAGCCAATGCATGACCTTGGCGGACACCTACCTGCCTTTGCCCAGGCTTCTACAGGTCATTCATTAGAGAGTGTACAATTGGACTTATTCTTCATCCCCATCCTCTGGTCTCTTTTAGAATTACTTTTACAGCTACGCTGTGAAGTGATACCTCCACATTGACCAAATGTGTTCTAAATACTAATGTGTATTTTAAGTAGCAACATTGACTAAAATACATTCATCTATTTATTGTGGGATGTAGTTGAGGATGTAACCTGGTCCAGTGACCCAGTAACCCTTTATCCTGTGGGAGGAATTTTTCACATATATTACTAACAGGAATTGCTGTGCTTTTTCTGAACAGGTGGTGTGTATACATCTTTGGCCATAATGAATCATATAACTCACCCCTTTTTCCTCTCTACTGCCTACTAGAAAGTCAGAACCGAAACTACTATGAGTTTACATGGCCTTACCATATGGATTTTATGCACCATATGGTCAGGTTGTATGTATTTTTGAAATGTATATCAAATTTGTGAAATAACACCATTTAAAAATAGAAACTATCAGTAATAGTTGTTCATGTAACAAATATTAAATACCCACTTCTAACATGTGCTTTCTGCACTACTTATACTTTTATCGAATACAGAATGAGTGCTTGTAAAGGAGAAAGCAATCACTGAGGAGTGGGGTGATTACACGTGAGTGAGTCCCAGAAGGATGAAGTCAGAGTGAAAAACTCTTCAAAGTGTCCCGGAATGTGGTCAAGTGGAGCCCATGCTATACAGAACAGGAGGCTCATGCTTGTGGGAAAGAAGGTTCCAAAGCTGAGGCTCACCATTCCTCAGTGAGGGTTTCATTTGCCTCAGTTTGTACTTGTCAACTTTACAAAGCAAAAGGAGAAAATTAACCCAGAAAATATACCACAAGCACTATAGAAATGACTAGAATGTATTGCTCTTAAAATACAGCCATGCTTTTTAAAAAGATATTCACAATTTGTTTGCTATATAAACAGTAAATCACAAACATGCCCAATAGGTTCTAAATACAGTACATATATTTTTACTATTAACTCTCAAAAATTGTGGAGGTTCCCAGTGTCTCTGAAGGTTAAGGCAGGAGGATCACGAATTCAAAGTTCAGCAACAGCAAGGGGCTAAGCAACTCAGTGAGACCCTGTCTCTAAATAATATACAAAATAAGGGATCTGGGGATATAGCTCAGTTGGTAGTTTGCCTCGCCTACACAAGGCCCTGGGTTCAATCCCCAGCATCACAAAAATACATAAATAAATAACAAAATAGGACTGAGGATGTGGCTCAGTGGTCAAATGCCCTTGAGTTCAATCCTTGGTACCAAAACAAAAACAAAAACTGTGGAGCTTTATCTCAGCTAGATATAATTAAGGGAAATTTCTTTGTCATGGCCCCATTCAAATAATTTCTTTTCCTTCTGAAAAGAATCCTTTTGATTCATAGAAATAAATTCTTGATTATCTGGTTTAAGTGACATAATTTTTAAAAAATACTAGAAAACCAGTCTTTAGTTCTTCCCACTCCCCTGGAAGTGAGCTGAGAGAGGACAGCGCTATCTCATGTGGATTTCCAGCAGACACATGGGAAAGGCAGGCTCCCTGGGGAAGGAGAGGCAGCCGTGGTGTGTGCCCTGGAGCCAAACAGGCTTTGTTAAAAAAAAAAAAAAATGTGTCATTTGGGATTATTTTGTCATTGTTCCTCACTCTGAAAAGCACAGAGTAAAATGTAATTACTATTCCTATTGCAATGCTATGAAGGAGAGGCTGTGCTATGCTCTTTCCTTTCAGAACAAACCTTCTATTCCCTGAAGCAGATGTTAGGATACAGGTAGAACACCCACCATCTCAGGTCCATATGCAACAAGAATTCTCTCTCTCTTGTCCCTTTTAAGTAGACTGTCATGTATCAAACATGAAGAAGATAAATCAGAATTCTGCTAACTAAAGTGAATTATAAGATAGGATATCAGAGCGGCAATATCTTTAGTTCCAGGATTCCTAACATCCTTTATGTATGTGTCTCGCATAGCTGAACTTACTTCCTTACATGACAAAATGACACCATGATCAGCAAAGCCCTCGAAATTATAGTTGTGACTTAGTGACGGGTTTTCCCAAGTGGCATTTCTAGATTTGAAAACTTCAAATGAGTGTGCTTTATAATTTGAAAACCAATCCCTAAGCATTGTATATCTGCCAAGTACTTTAATGGCTTTTCTTTCTTTCTTGGTGTGTTTGTTTTCAAAAGGATGATATCGGGAAACTTGGCAAGCTGTTGATGCACGGCCCTTTCAATGTCTGGACAATTCACAAGGATCGTTATAAAATGAAGGATTTTATTAGATTTAAACCCAGCCAGAGGCAAATCTATCTATTCGAAAGAGGAATCGTGTTCTGTAAGATTCGAATGGAGCCTGGTGACCAGGGGCCATCTCCTCATTACAGCTTTAAGAAGTGGATGAAGGTAAAGGGGATCCTAATATACCTGGAGTCACCACCATCTGGGGACTGAGAAGAGAGAGGTGGTTTCCCTTTATTTTACAGAAGAGGAAACTGAAGCTTTGAGGGGGAAGTTCAACTTGCCAAATGCTTCACAGCTGAGCTGGAATCCATACCCAGGCCTGCCAGACTCTAGACAGGGCTTGTCGTCAGTCCCTACAGGGCTGGGGAAGACATAGGGGTGGCTGCATGCTAGATAAGACAAAAGGGACCTTTCTGTGGCTTGTCTGGAAAAACTAATCAGTGAAAGTAAAGAGGAATCTTTCCTCTGGGCAGATTTGGTGATTAAAGCACAAGCTGGGTCTCATCTTAATCTTCTCGATGTTATATTTTTGTGTATAAATGCAGACAGCATCCTCACTCTGACTGTGGGGGTCCATAAACCCCCTATCCACATCAAGTCTTATCTTTCACCTGAATAGGAAATGTTTTATAGCCTGCTAGCTATGAGACAGACACACACAGAGACATACACACACACTCACTTATATCTTGTGATTATTAAAGCTATCAATTCATGTAGTTTTCTTTATATTTCTTAATGGATACTCATTCAATTACCATTAAACAGAGATTTGCGAAGTAGGTGTTACAGAAGAGGTGATTTCTTCACTCAAAGGTCAAGTGCTACAGCCCTCCTCAGGGAAAGCATATCTCTGAAACAAACAGAACAGGGGATGCTGTACCAGACTGTGTTTTATGCTGCCTTGGAGACATGCACAGAGGAAAGCAAAAAACATTTTGAAGGAAGATGAAAGAGACCTGTTAAGGGTAGAAAAATATTAGAGGGGCAGATTGACAATTAAATGTCAAAAAAAAAAATGCTGATACAGAACACTTCTTTCTTTACAATAGTTGGTGACACTTTCAATTCGACCACTTGGAAGGGGGAGCAATAAAAAGTTTGAAATTGCCAACCGAAATGGACTTGAGAAATACATCCTGCAGGTAAAGCCCACACCTCATTCTTGGTTTTCCTTTGCTCTTTCCCTCTTGTGTTTCCGTAATTCGACGAGGGATCTTCTGTCTCTTTACTCTAAAGATCACGCAGAGAACAAAAGCCCTGTGCTTAATACTCAGGGTGATCTGATACTCATAGCATTTTCTTACCTGTAATTGCAGGCAACCTCAAAAGAAATCAGAGATTGTTGGTTTTCAGAAATAAGTAAATTATTGATGGAACAACAAAGCAATATTAAAGGTAGGTTATCTCTGCTGACTTCAGTCTGGAGCATTATTCTGATTGCAATGGGTGCAGGCTGGGGATGTTGTCAAAGAATGTTTTGTCAGAAAATTAACTGTGGTCACATGTTCATGCCTGTGCTTGTTTTAAATTGACTGGGTTTGGGGGAGGGGCACAGTTGTGCATGGTTGCACTGAAGTGTCCCTCCCTTTTAGTTATGTTCCTACACACACCTAATTGCTAAGGTCGACTGCTCCCAAAAGCCACCTGAGAAAATATGAACAGGGAGTCAAATAGCCAACATTGCCTTTAGAAACTGTATTACCTTTTTTCCAAAGTTGAGATAAAATTCACATATCATAAAATTTGCTCTCCTATTAAAGCGTATAATTCCAGTGCTTTAGCCTATTCACAATTTTACAAGGTTGTCTCATCATCCCCACTCTAATTTTAATTCTAAACTGGAACATTTTTATAACACTTCACTAAAAAAATCCTGTATCTATTACCAATCATTCCCCATCTCTCCCCCCACCACCATCAGCTGCTGGCAACCACTAATCTATTTTCTATTTGATTTTCTTACTCTAGATATTATAAAAAAGTAACTCTTCCTGTCAAGATGCTTTCACTTAGCTTTTTGTTTTTCAGATTTTATCCACATTGTAGCATATATCAGTACTTTCTTCCTTCTTATGGCTAAATTATACTCCAGTGCTTGGATGTACCATTGTCTTAGTTTATGTTTTGCTGCTATAACAGAATACAATAGAATGGGTCATTCATAATTAGCAGAAATTTATTGGCTCACAGCTCTAGAGATTGGGAAGTCCAGGATTAAGGGGCTGGAATCTGCTCAGGGTCTTCTCTGCATCATCCCATGTGGCAGAAGGTAGAAAGAGAGAGGAAGGAAAGAAAGGAGAGAGCACTCATGTGTATACACACACATGCACATGTGTGTACATGGAAGGAGGGCAAACTTGTCCTTTTATAAGGGCCCACTCTTGTGATAACAAAACCACCGCACAATAATTGTATGAACCCATTCATGAGATTAGTGCCCCTATGACCCAAATATCTCCTATTAGGAACCACCTTCCACTGGGGATCAAGTTTCCAACACAGGGGACACATTCAAATTATAGCAATCATATTTGTTTATCCATTCATCAGGGGATGAACATTTGGGTTATTTACACTTTGTGGTTTTTGTAAATAGTGGTGCTACATATTTTCATGTAAGTTTTTTTTTTAAATGTGAGTCCTTATTTCTAAGTTTCTTGGATATTGAATGGAATTGCTAAATCCTATGTTAATTCTAGTTAACTTTCTGAGGAGCTTCCAAATTGTTTTCCAAGGTAGTAGCACCATTTCAGATTCATACCAGCAATAAATAAAGGTTCCAATGCTTATTATTATTTATTGCCGAAGGGGGTTATAGCTCAGCGGTAGTGTGCTTACCTCTCACATGTGAGGCACTGAGTTCAATCCTCAGCACCACATAAAAATAAATAAATGAAGTAAAAAGATATTATGTCTATTTTTTTAAAATATTTTAAAAAATAATTATTATTATTGTCATCCCAGTGGGTATGAAATGATAGCTCATTGTGATTTGATTTGCATTTCCCTATAACTAGTGATGTCAAGCATCTTTTAATGTGCTTATTGGTCTTAGGTATATATTTTCTTTGAAGAAAAATCTATGTCCTTTGCCTTTTTTGTTGTTGTTGTTTTTTGGTACCTGGGATTGCACTCAGGAGCACTCAACCACATCCCCAGCCCTAATTTATATTTTATTTAGAGACAGAGTCTCACTGAGTTGCTTAGCACCTCAATTTTGCTGAGGTTGGCTTTGAACTCATGATCTTCCTACCTCAGCCTCCCAAGCTTCTGGGATTACAGATGTGTGCCACAGTGCCCGGCTCCTTTGCCCATTTTTAATTGGCTTTTTTTATGGTTGAGTTGTAGTGCTAGTTGGATACCAGAACTCCTGTCAAATAACATTTTGCATTTGAGCATTTGTTTTCACTTTCTTGGGAGTGTTCTTTGAAGCACAAATTCTTTTTTTACTTTGATGAAATTCAATTTGTCTAGTTTTTTTCCTTTAGTTGCTTATATTTTGGATATTTAAAAAACCATTGCCTAATCCAAGGTGATGAAGGTTTATACCTAAGATGTCTTCTAATAATTTATAGCTTTAACTCTTGCATTTAGGTCTTTGATCCATTTTGAGCTAATTTTTTTTTAATTCTTTAGTTGTAGATGGACACAATACCTTTATTTATCTATCTTTATGTGGTGCTGAGGATCAAACCCAGTGCCTCACCTGTGCTAGGCAAGTGCTCTACTACTGGGCCACAACCTCAGCCCCTGATCTAATTTTTGTGTGCTATTCTTTACCATCATTGTAGACTATTGTTTTCCAAGGCTACCCCAAGAAGGAAAGGGAAGTTAGGAACAGGGTGAGTTAAATAAATAAATCTCACTGCTCAGACTGAAGTTCATTTTGAACAAATGATCTCCAGATTTCACTGCAAACCATTAATTTCCAGTTTTCTGGAAAAAAAAATGTTACTGACAATTTTTGCCAGCTTTACCCCACACTTTCATGGTAAAGAGAACTTTTGAAAGTTTTGTTCTCCACCATTTTCACTAATGTCACTCACAGTAATTGAAAGTCATCTTTACCCTTTCACATTTGTATCATTTAAAGGATCCTCAATCCTCCTCATAACAGGGGAGGGGAAATTCACACCAGCCTTCATCAATGAAGTTCCAATTGGTCAGGTAACATTGCTAGGGTTGAGAAATACCAATCTTATGTGAAAAATCTATCCCTGTCATTTATTCTGGCAATGATTTATGACAGACACACACGCACACAGACACACCACACACACATAAAGCTGTATAAAGTAAGGAAAATTGCATAAAAAATGAAAAGATAAATTTTATCTTGAGAGACTTGGCAAGAATGCAACCATTTCTCACTCTTTCTGTGTCTCCTCTGATCATCATCTAGTGGGAGGACGAGAGGGCAGGTGTGGAGAATGTGCACAGAGGGGTTTTCCATATGGTTAGATGTGGAAAAAGATA